ATTTTGGGTTGCCAGAAAGGACGAACGTCGGAGTTCCTCTTATTTTTCAAGCCGACATTCCTGTTTTAAAATCAATTAGGAACAGTTGAGTGTAAAAATTTGAATTTACTATAAGATTTTGTAAAGCAATAGTTTTGCTCTCAAAAGGTGTACAGCTTGCTGTCAAAGCTTTTCTAGAATTTTTTTTCCACACGAAAAAAAAATCAGAAAATTTTGTTTGACAAGTGTGCAGTCATTGTTTTCAGAAAACCAAAAAAAATCTTCAAACTAGTTTTGGCCGCCTTAGGGCTCGCACGTAGATTGTAGTTTAGCGGAACCCATCATATCACAATTGTTATCAGGTCACCCTGACTTTTTAGGGTAGTCAGAAGACTTTTAAAGGTCTGAAGTTTGAAGAGATTTTCTTGACAAAGTTGTTCTTTGCTTCAATATTTTCAAAACAAACGGAGTGTTTTTGCAAAATTAATTAATTAATCTTATAAAAAGGAGAGATTGTTAAGGTTAGTGGAGGGCTTAACGTCATCTGAGAAAATTTAAAAGTTTCACACTAATCGTGCAGTATTACAGATGCCTTTGACACTTTGATCAATTGTTTCCGTCAAATCAAGCACCTATTGTGTCTATCTGTCTGTTCGTTGCGATTATGGTTAAGATGATTTGCAGCAAAGTGATGCTTGCTCTATCTCACCTCTATCTAACCTTATCAACAATAATTCACGAAACATCACAAAAACGTCGGTATCTCGACGGTAGCTACAATATATGTCAATCGAGCTGAAGCGAAAGAATGTAACTCAGGGGGTTGTTTGAAGAAAGGTAGCGCATTGTTTTTCTCGCTCAAGGTTCAAACGCTAATGGCTCCTTATCAAAGGGAAGGATACTCAATAGCCAAGAACTTCCATAATAGTAGACAAACCTCCAAATACGCCTCAAACCCGAATCTGCTTTCCTAACTGCTAAACAATTCTCTGTACCAAGTTATCAAACTTTCTTTCTTTAAGAATGTAGCGTGCCTTATCTGCTATTAATCGCTCTAAAATTCAAAACCTAAACAACAAGGTAAAAATACTTTTTTTATCTTGTCAACAAATGCTCTTTTTATCCTTGAACAGGTTTGACGTGTCGCATAGTAAGTAGTATATATAAGAAGCCATTTTTCGCGAAAAAAAGTTGTTTTGCAACTTCATCTAAAACGCTTGTCAAGTATGAAGGCTTGTTTGGAAGCAGTGTTTTGAGTGCACCTAATGGTATCTCTCTCATCTCTATCTTGAACGGCCAAGTATCAAGTATCCCTCCTCTGTTAGAGGAAAGTTAGAGTATAATCATAAAAATCTTACCCACAATACTATCCTCCACTCCTTTTTCACTTGTTTCACATTCACGCATTGGGGACT